AAGTATGCTATTGATTTGAGTTCTGTGCAATTTTATCGTAGCAAAATATTTGATCACTATAAGATCTTTTTCTGAATCCTGCTTGATTCCCCCTCTGTCTTTCATCTATTGTTGATTTCACTCTGTTTGGTATTGCCTTGATGAACACTTTGCCAGGCATCGATAGCAGTCTTATAGACCCTCTTTTGCCAATTCTGAGGAAGTTTCTTACTTGACCCGATCAGAAAACCAGTTTTATAGTTTTATGTAGTTGGTCAGTCAGTAGTCGATGGCTACTGAGCCATCTCTCTAGCTTTAAGTAATTCCACAAATATATTGTCAATGCCTGGTCTTAATTTCTTAATTTGTCTGATCACCATTTAAACCTCCTCCACGGAGGGCTCCACCATAGAGGTGTCTAACCCGTAACATTCCCTCTGTGTTGTAGCTGTCTCAAGAAACCCAGCAGGCCAAAAAACACTCTAGAAAATCTGAGTGAGACTCAGATCACATTATGTACTGTAGTATAGGATGGCAGAGTGGCAAAACAGTTAGCATTGGGTTCAGTTTTGGACTGTGGGTGTTATATGTGTAGTTTTTATGTTCTTCTGGTGTTTGTGTGGGTTCTCGGTTCTCCAATTTCCTCCCAGAGTCCAAAGACATACAGTACTGTAGGATAATTGCTTCTAGAAAAATGTATGTCTCTGTGTGTACTGCGATAGACTGGTGTCCCATCCAGGGTGTAATCTGCCTTGCTCCCAGTGCTTGTCGAAACAGGCACTAGCTCCCTTATAACCACTGCAAATTGAAAGAAGCCATTATAAATGGATGGATAGATCGATAATGCAATCTAATATACACATTTTTCACATAGAAAGTAGATACTGTAAATATCTGGTTGCAGCCAATTTATTTGGAAAATGTGACAATTTGTCTTTGTACTCAGAACCATGCAGTCTAGTTTAGGCTATCAATTAGAAATGTGACATCTACTAACGCAAATACTTTGAAAACAAACGAGGAAAAGGATGTGGAAGTGATGAAATGGAATTTTATGAGTGGTGAACTCAACGGAAAGTCTGTAAAATGTAGTCTATGTTTAGGCAGTAAAGCCTTTTTAATTCAGACTACAGTCTACCATAAGAACACCAGCAAGCACAGATTAGATTGTAAAGAGACCATTTTAAATAGAGTGAAGCTAATGAAAAATAATCATACAGTACCTTCCAAGTCCAGGAAGATCATGTTTTGGACCTCTAAGAATTATTTTTCTAAATAAATAAGTCAAAGCAAGCTTATTTGAAAATAAAATATTTGATTTATTTAAATTTCTTGCAAATTAAGTATGGTGCACCTGAGTATAACCTTGAGCATTCAAAACCATGTGATATAAAAATATTTTAAAAAATAGATTTGAAAGAGGATTCAAAGAAATATTATTTTCTCATCAGCTTCATGGTATAAATAATTGTATAATGGTATAATTAATTGTAAAACCGTACACTTGGAAAAGGTAAATATTTTAATTGATTTTTTTCCTGTTTTTTCTTGATCTGTCTTGTAGTGACTCCTAAGGGAGAAGGATTATATGTAATTTTGTAAGGTATTGTACCGTGTCACTTACATTGGTTTTGTAAATAAAAACTGTTATGCCTGATACAGTCCTAGGTCTTAATAAGTAAATAGTAAATTTATATTCATTATAGATATTATTAGCATTATACAGTATGTTCTCCATTTTTAGATTTAACACACTCAAACCACAATAGATGCATTCAAACTATTTGATGAATAATTACAGATTTACTTAATTGTATTTACACAGAATAATGTCGGGGAAACTACTTTCTCAATGTTGTGTGGTAACTGTGGGTAGGTGGCAGAGATGTCTTAATATTGTCAGACAGAAAGATTAAATTACAGTATCTCTGTCATTATACCAACTGATACTTACAGTGCTAGTTGAGCCTGATGAACTGCATTGTCAGCACTGCATTATGTTGGATAAATCAGCATATAGAAATATTATGGAGATAATTGAATGACTGGATTTTTAATGCTATTTTTATATGTCCAGAGCTGCTGCACTGTTACTTGTAATTTCTGTTTCATATACCATGACTGTGCGGAAGGCACAGTAGAGGTAGAGGGAATGCAATTGCATTCCCTTTTTAATAATGTTTTATTTACCTTGATTGTTTTAAGCAATTAATACAATTTTAAGGTGGTGCACATACTGTAGATAAACAAAAGAGGAATCAGTGCATTTCATTCCAGGCTTACAGTAAATGTTCCCTAGTAATTACCCTTTAAGAGGTATTTAAAATGAATGTTGTTGGCAAAGATAGAAGCATGATCTTATCTTGTTATTTTATCTTATCAACATGTTTCCCTTAATAGAGTAGGTTACTAAAGTTTTTGTAATATACAGCCAATGTGTTCCCTGCTTCCTGATGAGGTGTTCTGTGGTTTGGCACTGGCAGATACCAGTCAGATCCTGGTGAGGGATGAGCTGTGGATGCTTTAATACCACAGTGCAGCAGGCCAGCTGTTATAAGTATTGTAGTTACAGCTGACCCGCTACTCCAGGCCATCAAGGCCTCTAATTAAGAAAATAGTCTCACCTGTGGTGAATTACTCAATGAATAGTTAATTGTTAAAGGGGTAGGAATAACAAATGTGCACATTGGTGTAAATTACAATTAGTATGTTCAAGATATTAAAGGGTGTGCACAATTTTTATTAGTGTTAATTTACTGAAGAGCAGTCTTGTGTTTAACTGAGGAGAGTTTTATTTCACTAAAGACTTGTTTTCTTGCAGTGTTTGACCCATTGTGAGTTTTAATGTGCTCTGGCCTCAAAAGCCACCTTAGAGGAATGCCTGTCACACACAGCTAATTTACAATAGTTAATATGTATCAAATCTTTTTTTGTATGAATAATGTTTTGTAATTATATTTTGTATGATAAAGAAGTGTAAGCTATGTGACACATAAAAGGTTTCAGCCATGTATTGCACAGTGGCGCATCAGAATATTCATAGAAGTTCTCTTTGATATCCAACTAACATTCTGCCACTTCTATTTTTGCTCTGTACTTGAAAGGCAGAAAAACAAAAATTGTGATTTAAAAAAAAGATCAAAAAGGAAAATGAGATTCCTTATTTTATCATGTGAGCAGCAGCAGGTATTGCGATATTTGAGAAGCTTTTCAAGCAGTAGTATTTTCCTCTTCCACATCTTCATGCCAGCTGAGAGCTGCCAGTGTGTTGACACTAGTGTTCCATATGTTTTCCACTGCGGTTTTATTACATCTTGTCGTCCAACTTTGTCAGATCTCAGAACGTATGCGAGGCAGGGCCTGGTCAATGCTGGGAAGGGAGATTTCTGATGAAAGCCTGTTGATTGGTGCTGTAAGTTTGGCTTGCGGATCAATAGGTAGTGTCCCCGCTGGTCACAAATTTCTAACTATGAGAGGAGACACCATGTTGTATAATAGGAGGTGTGAGATCATGACTCTTGAGTCATTAACAATCCCAAGACACTATTCTCAAGAGTAGGCTGTTAACCCCAGTATCCTAACTAAAATCCATTTTGGTTTGCGCGTTCTGGCCACCTCCTTTAATACAACTAGTAGTAAGTGGTATGATACACCACCTTCCATTTCTAAATGAGTGACTTCACCATGCTGAAGAGTAAAGTATATTTACTGCCTTTTCCTGATCTGTGACTTTCTACAACCTTATCCCTGAGTTGTTTCAAAAGCTTCTTGTTGCCTTCATGGTTGAATCTGCTTGAAATTAACTGCTTCACTGGGGAACCTTGCACAGAAAATGCTATTTATTTTGAAGTCATTCATCCATCCAATTTCTAAGCACTTCATCCAATACATGGGGTCATGGGGGAACCAGAGCCTGTCATGGCAAGCAATGGGCAAAGGACAGAATATCCCCAAGACAGGATGTCAGTCCTTCTCAGGGCGCACACAGACACAAAGATGCACACACTCTCACCAGGGCCAGTTTCACAGAAGTCATACCTACCAGTATGTTTTTGGACTGTGGGAGGAAACTAAAGTACCCAGAGGAAACTTGGGGAGACCATACAAACTCCACACAGATAGCACCCCAGGAATTCAACTCAGAGTTTACCCAAGGCATGATTTATGTTCTTAATTTTATCATTTTACTGTAAGTTTAGAATTTGTTTTCTTTCATTCTTTCATTGTAGCCTTTACTGATATTTTACTTTGTTCACCCATAAAAGTGTTCATTTTCAGCAACCAAATTGAAATTAAAAACGTTCACATCAAAAATCATTTTAATTTTTAAAAAAACATTTCGGACATCAATGGATGATCGTGAATACCTTTTCAAGACACTGAATATGTAAGTCCATGTGTGTTTAAAAAAAACAAGAATCTCATGGACAGAGTCACAAAAGGTGATCAGCAATATGGTAGAAATAATTTCTATTGAATGCTTAATTATTAATACCCTGCTTACTGTGGTAAGCAGCTGATATGTAATTTAGTTCTGGATCTTCCTGTTGCATTTCTTTATTTGTATGTCAGTAAAAACACCAAGTGCAATCGTGCATTGATTATCATCATCACACTAAGCTGTAAATCATCACTGAAGAACATAAATATAGCAGATTTAGTATATAGAATCAATAAAACTGATACAATGAATTTGATTTAAGGTTGTGTGTCTGTGTCAGTGTGTGCCCTGTCATAAACTGCCATCCCATTCAGTCTCTGTCCCGCCTTGCGCCTATTGCTTGCCAGGATAGACCCGGCTGCTCCACAGCCCTGAATTGGACAAAGCTGTTAGAATATTGATAGATGGATTAAATAGTAACAGAGGCTTAATAGTTTTATTTCATGCATAGATTGACATTTATTTTCAGTTTGCAAGTTATTAAAAGGCCTTCGTCATTCTGCCTGTCATAATCCCTGCATCCTTGCTAATCCTTGTGTTTTATTTCACTGTCTGCCTTTCTATTTCTGTTGCTCCCCAGTCCGTTTTGTACTTATTCCTGCATTCCCCACTTCTTACTTGCATCGGCCGTATTTCCGTCTCTCTCTCTTTCCATCCAGCCTTCCCCTAATCTCTCCTGCTTCTCCGCAGCTTCCTCTGTCTCCCCCTGCTTGTCAGACCCTCGCTCTCACTCACTCCCTCTGCCCCTTAGTGAGTCATTCCTTTTGTGTGTACAGCTCCTCGGCTTAGCCTGCCTATAAAACTTCAGCAGATGGTTTGTGTTGGGAGGAGGGGAGAGGGGGGAGAATAAAACCGAAAAAGAAAAAAAAGGTGGCTAAGTTGCGATGCTGTGTATCCTTCTTTCTGTTAAGGGGCAGGAAGAGATGCTTTTGATGAGCCCTCAGCCGTCTCTGCTCCAGTGGGGTAGAGGGTGTGTGTGTGAGTGTACAGTGTGAGCCTGTCTGCATGTCTGTTGTATGTGTACCTCAGCATGTCTCTCGCTCTTCATGTTACTTTACCAGCCAGGGTCCGTTTGCTTTAGGTTGCCGCACAGTTCAAAGCATCTGCTTTGTCGAGTGCGTGTGTGGACAGAGAGGCTTTGTTTTCAAGCGAAGCGTTTTCTGCGAGAAGAGATCGGGGGCTTTTGATTTTTTTTTTAACAAAACCTGCTAGATGACTTGAGATGATTTTTTGATGCATTTACTTGCAAGTACAGTAAGGAAAAGAGACCATGCCTTTTCTTTTTTAAATAAGGAAAGCCTCATCATACTTCATTCATTTGTCAATTGCCTTCTGGTGGAGTTCAGTGGCTGGATGAGGGAAAAGCTGGTCTCCTAACATGCCAGATTGCTAAACACATCCTCTGTTCAAAGACTCTTTTTTTTTTTTTTTTAGGACTGCAATGTTGTTCAGCTTTTCTTAGAAAAGGGAGGCTGGATTGTAAGTGGCTGCTCTTGCTTATCCACCAATGCTCTGTTTGTTCACTATGCCCAAGTGATTGTCTTGGATCATACGGACGGACATTGGGTGTCTCACAGGATGGTGCTGAACTCTGACCTGGTGGCCCTGTTCTCTTTTCTCCCCAGTGATTACATCATTGAGGAGAAGGATGCAATCCTGCAGAAGAAAGAGAATGAAGGCTTTGGATTTGTGTTGCGTGGAGCTAAAGGTAAGAAATATTAGTCGTGTTACTTTATTTTGTCAAACAAAAGCTTCACACAGAGCTTTTTGTGTTTGAAGATATAGTAGTCTAATAAATCAATGTGAAAAATCATACTAATGTTTTATATTAAGGGGTGCAAAGACATTTATAAAATCTTTTTTTGCCTGTAATATATTGGAGCACATAAAGAGAACAGATTAATTGTAATTTTCCTGTTATTAACAGCTCTTTACTACTGGTTAAATGTATGTTATTAACAAAGGTCACATTGTATATTTTGAATATAAAGACTTTTGTACCAACCAATGACCTTGTCATGTACTTACAATTTATCTTATGCAACTTATTTTGGTAAGAAAGAAGAGGAGAAAGCTTAATGTAATGTTTGAATTCCCCCTCTCCCTTCATGTGATATGGAAAGTTGAACAAGTGTACTAGTCTTCAATGCAGTGTGTGGGACTCTGAGATGTGAACACCTGAGTTCCTTAGTGTAATGCATCAGAAGAATCTTTTCTTTTTTTATAGTGAAAGTTTTTATCTGCTAGACAATACTACAGTTATCTAATTCATTAGCTGAAATTACAGAACACCAATAAGATAGTGAAGGCTCCTATAGAATATCTGAGATTTTTGAGAAGGTCTTTTGAGTGTGCAACCTGCTTAGCCTGGATCTGGACAGGCACCAGCTTACCAGCTTGGTATGTGACATGTGGCTTCATCCTGTGAATGACATATCATCTCACATTCCCATCTGCTCTCCACTCTGTACAGCTCTTACTAGACTTAAACAGAAGAGTGCTGGTTTAAAACCCTCACTGCAGACACTAAGAAACAATTGTTTTGGAAAGTTCCTTCATTCGCTCAGGGCACAGCTTTTCAGCGAAAAGGGTACTATTTTGGAATTCCACTCAAAATATAATATATTTATTAATTCAGTGCAGCAGGCTACTCTGGGTGTTTAAGTATTGTTTATATATAATCTCATAAAAAAAGCAAATATTGACCACACTGAGACTAGTTCCTGGTTCAAGTTTCTGGTTCAAATGAGCAAAGATATGAAGTTTCAATAGGACAATATTA